TTTAATAATCCTAATATAATATATGGGTTGACGAGTCGAGCCGCGAACCCAATTACTAACCCCAACACCAAAGGTTTCCATTTTTGACAACCATCGCGAACCCAATTACTAACCCCAACACCAAAGGTTTCCATTTTTGACGACATGGTTGGTAGATCTTTTTTTTTAGATTTGTAATAGTAGGAAAAATTGTAAAGACGAAATGGGGTGCTTGGATGGAAAAACCTTTCTCTAGCTTATACTTTGTAATTTCTTTAGCTCGTTGCTAGTTTTTAATGTGATTTGTCGCTCAAAAAAACAGGTTCTACATTATATAGCATATCGAGTTACTTATAGCATTACAAAAACGATGTCTATTGATTTAACTTTTTATATGCGTTCAACTTATGCTTAATTGAATATTACTAATAATACAAAATCTTATAAACTTAATCCATGAAAGATCAATATCATAAATAAAACAATATATATTCCAACCAAATCCAAGAAAGAAACCATTTTCCAAAGACTGGTTTCGTAATCAAATTTACTGAAGTGTGGTGTAAAACATATGTTAATGACGGGTCCAATTCTTCTCGTGCGTATGCACAAACGTAATAAACCCTTTCATGGGATACATTAAAAATAGACGTATTTGGATTCTATCTATCGATCCAAAGACCATATCCTTTAAATATCAATAAATACCATAACTTCTGCAAAAGTCGTACTATGAATTAGCGAGACTTTTATTTTATTTGAAAATATTGTTCTACAGGGATAATCATTGGTTCATGGTATGTTGTCGTTGTATACTTGTATTGTTTACCTTCATAGTTCATACAATTATTGTATGCTACGCGAATGTGCAAATGCCTCATGAATGATTCAGCCGGTATGATTTTACCAACAACCACTAAAATACAATAACAAATAACGCTCGTGAAATTAGTAATATCCTCACGAATTTTGCGTCTATCGATGCTACGTCTGTCTAGCAATTTATTTATCAAATTCCTATCTCCTCCATAAAAAATTAATTTGGTGTGTTGTTCTTCGATCCAAGATGGCCTTAAAAGGGAAAGGATTTGCAAGCATCCTTTGTCCAAAGTTATATGATCATGAAGGCAAAGAATGTTATTGTGTCGATCTTAACACATTCTTTGATGTCAACTCACATCAACAGAAAATTTTAAATGACTTTCTTGTATAATATAAAGTGAAAATGTATATGCATCACTATTCACGACGTCCAGATATCCTAGCCATTAGATTATGATAAGCCCAAATCTTGGAAAAAATATATTCTCGTTTATTCGATTTCATTGTCACTGTTCTACCACAACTCAACGTCTCTAACCACATACAAACAAAAATACCTCAATCACGATTGTTACCTTATCGTGGTAGATGTTCGAGAAAATTAATCTTGAAGTGCACATTGGTGGGTTCCCATCTATTTTTTTCCCAATAATCTATGACTTTAAGTAGCCGTTTAAATAGGCTATAAAATGTTGTAAGTTTTCCAAGAGTTTCTCGTTATGACCCTCTGAAAACATGTTATTATAAATATTTAAAGTCCATTTTTTTCAAGTTCGATGCATCGTCACCCAATGAATATTGTTATAGTTAATGGAAGCAATACTTGTACAATGATATAAAAGTTATATTAAAAATTCCAAATTACGATTAAATTGAGGTTTATCAAAAAGAAAATATACTTACCAAATCAATACTAGCCAAAGCCTTCCAAATTATTATATTTTGAACTAGTTTATAACTCGTAGGAATCACGGTTACAAAATTAATTAAACTTTCATAGTAAACTCAAAATTATTAATCAATTATTTTAAATAAATTATTAATTAAAAGATTTTTTTAGATATATAAAATTATAATCGTTGATTTACATAAATACGTGAAATTATATTTTCTTATAATTTGTATTAATTTTATTTTAATTTTTATTCTAATGTTATTTGTAATTAGAGGGGGAAATTTAACATTTGAAATGGAGAATCAATAGGTTGACAAGTGGCTTTACATTAATTAGGAGGTCTAATAGGGTAACACATGACAAAAGAAGAATAAATTTATTCTTTTATTAAAATAGAGAGATTTCAAAAAATATAAAATTACTTACCATTGTTTCTAGAGTAAATTACACGAATGGTCCTGTGGTTTAGCGTAATTTGCGCGTTTGGTCCCTAACTTATTTTTTAAACTCAGACCATCCCTATAGTTTGGTTTTGTTACGCGTTTGGTTCTGTTAGGCTTAAAAGGACTATATTGCCCTTCTCTAATTTCTTTTTTAATTTTTTTTTCATTAATCAACTAAAATAAATATTTGATAAAATTACCGCCCCTATTTTAATCCCTTCCCCCTCTGCCACTTTCCCCATTTTTTTTCCTCTTGCCTAAGTAAATTATAATTGTCCTTCCTTCTGCTATCAGAAAGAGAACCCCGATGATTGATAACCAAAAATCACATAATCAATTAACCAGGAAAACATCCATTGATGGTTAACTGGAATCAACCCCAAAAATCCCATTCAAACCCAAAAATCAAAATTATAAATCAAACCCATAAATTTATTCAAACCAGAAATCAAAACCGCAAACCAAATACTGAAATCAAACCCGAAAAATTATTCAAACCATAACTCATAACCATATATATTAGAGCTTTACGAGACCTTGTGAGGAAATCAATGCTTTTTGAAGACCCTGATGGCGGTGATGATATCACCGAAGACTATGGATTTGATTCTCAGGGATTGAGATGGATTCGAAGATTTTACACACCGAAGAGATTTGTTTGAAAGAGTTTGATGATGGAATTTATGGTTGAGAGAAATCAAACGATGATGGTGATCTAGGTGTGGTTTAAGGTTCTTCAAATGAAAGCAGACGGTGGTGGTGCCGAGATTTCAAGTCTGAGTATAGTTGAAGAAAATCCAGATCAACTGAAAGGAAGAAAACGTTAGTGCAGGGCTTGGAATGGAGTGTGTTCCACCATTCCTTTGACGACTTCAGTGAAGGCGTTCATGGTGGCAAATTGGGGGTTTAACATGAGGGATCGTTGATGGTGATATATAGAAGCAAAATGTGGGATTAACGTAGGATATAGGTGTGGGGTTTGGCTATACTTACTAGTAGCAGGTCTGTTGGTGGTGGTGGATGATACCTGAAGCTTTAGGTATTTATTTGTAGGTTTCTTTAGTTTCTTTAGTTTCTTTAGAGAAAGAGAAAGAGACGGAGATAGAGAGGAAAACAAATAGATGCGATAGGAAGGGATAAAACTCAAGTGGGTGGAACCTATTTTTAATAAATATTTTTTTAACAAGTTAGAAATAAATAAAACAATTAAAAAAGTCAATAAGGGAATATTGATCCTTTTAAGTCGATTAGGGACCAAGCGCGTAACAAAACCAAACTATAGGGATGGTCCTAGTTAACAAAATAAGTTAGATCCAAACACGCAAATTACGCTAAACCACACGGACCATTCGTGTAATTTACTCTTGTTTCTATCTAGCTACTGTCCTTAAACTTCTTTCCATAGAATAGGTGTAGCCAAAAGTGGAGGCCCTACGTTTCCCTTTTAAATAAGTTTTTCCTATATTTAAAACAAAGGGTAGTTGTCAGTAGCAGAACCAGGAACGTTCAATTGTAGTGGCACAAAAAAAAATTCCGACCAAATATAATAACATAAAAAAAATTAAAAGTACTAGTACATTAAACCGATTCGTTACATCTTAAATTTTAAATTTGACATCTACGTGTACACATTTTTTGAAACCGCTTTATTACATTTTCGATCTTCACTTTCATAAGAGCTTCTTTTTCAACATAAGAAACTATTGCATCGTTTAAAAAATCATCACCAAATTTGTTACGTAAGTCCGTCTTCAAAAGTTTCATCGCAGAAAAACATCTTTAGCATAATTATCTTCATGGATTGACAATTCTCGTAGAATATTGACTTTCCATGCTTGGTTTGTTTGGCTTTTTCTAACTTTATGTGTTTAGGATGTCTTGCAACTGATACAAGAAGCTCTTTTTATAGTAAATCCACCCACCATTTCATCTTTTCTATTTAATGTGTTCATCATAGGGCAGAAAGAAATTTTGTCATCCTAGGAAGAAAATGGTTCCATAAAAAATGGTGGGCTTTTAGATGGAGGCTGGAAGTCAACAAATCTCCTCATCCTAGAAAAATAAACATTTCTTGAAAGTTGCTATTGACAGGTTTGTTATTCTTTATTTCTTTTTTTTTTTTTTGTTCTGGTTTGGGCCTGTAGATGGGGGCTGGAAGTCAACAAATCTCCTCATCCTAGAAAAAAATCGTTGCATTCTTTTCCTTTTTGTGCACCATATTTATTTATGTTGAACCTAATAATAGTTGCACAATAATTTTTGTAGTTGCACATAATACCCAAAAAAATAATAATAAAAATAAGAATAAAAAATGTTCTTCGGAGTCGAAATCGAGTAGTGACCTGGGACCCAGGATACCTACCAGTTCCTTCACTGTTGTTGTATCCTTTTTATTATATAGAGGGAATATATCTTTAGAATGTAATGCATTAATCTTAATTTAAAGAGGACAGACATGGACCGGAAGGGATAGTTGTTTATGGAGCGATTGATTTTGCTCATGAATCGTTTGTCATGTTTATACAATTTCACATATTTTGGTGACTCGTATATTAGTTCCTTCTTGGCATACTCGACCCCTTCCCTAGTAGTCGATGCACATACACGTGACAGTAGTACCTCAAAGTGAGTTTTCTCTATGTTATTTTTCATTCCAATGACGGCCTGTAGTACCGGTGTGCACTTGCAGATAATGATCCCAAAGCAAGCCACAAACAAATTGAGTAACCATGAGGAAACAACATGTATAATTCAGATGCAAAATGTTACCTATATAAAGAATGTTTAGATCCTCTATTTAAATTGTTTAGGTGAAAATCACATAAAGACGAATAGGATTATCAAAACAACGTGTGTTTAGTTTTTCCGTGCCAACTCATCAACTTCAAGAAAAAGAAGAGAATAAAGATTTCTCAAACACAAGTTAAGCCGTTGCAATAAAATACAGCCTAAAGTTGCCATTTGCCACACATACATAATATATATAGTATAATATTAATTAATTAATAACCATATAAACATAAGCCCACAACAATCAATCATGACTTAACATCTTTGAGGCCACCACCTTTCTCAAGCTCCCCAACTAACTCCCTCAAAGCCGGAACCTTCATGGCTAGTGTCCTGTACAACCTAGAATACCTAGCCCTGGTTCCATCTGCTGTTCTAGCTAAAGCCAGTAAGGATAAAGCTTCCGGAAGCTTTGCAAACACTTGTTTAATTTCCTCCAAGTTCATGTTTTCTAGAACAGTAGGGCGTGGGACCACCCTAAGAATTTCACCTGTTTTTGGCTCTTGAACACGATCATCTGCTTTGATTACAAGTTCTGAATGTGAATTTGCTCCACATTTTATGATGAAAGGGGATGTGGATCCTGTGTTGAACTGTAACACGTTCCATTGTGTCACCTCCGTTTCATTGCCGGAATGTTCACCGGAAATAGCCCGCGATGGCCCTTGTGGCGGCTGATCGTCTTCTTCCACAATTGACTAAAAAAAAAACAGAATTTGTAAAAAACATATATATATATATATATATATATATATATATATATTTTTTTAAATTTGGTAGTTAGTAGTTACCTCTACAACACGTCGAGCATCTGCAATGTGTCTTTGTGCACATGGATGATCAATTTCAAGAAGTGAAGATAATTGTGCTGAAAGATCATCTAATCCTGTAACCAATCCTTTCTTTTTGCTTCTACTCATTATATTAACTGCAGATTGCCTCATTATTTCCTATCACATTAACACATCACAAATTTCTCTTTAATTTTTTAAAATAAAAAACTTATATTATTTTATTATATAATAACAACTAACAACCTTGACTTGCTTCAGAATTCCATCAAGGGCAATTAGAGATGCCAGCCTGGCATCCTCAGCTGCAGAAGAAGGATTCCGGACAGGTGATCCACCATCTTCTAATGTTAACAGTGCTGTATCATTTTTCATTTGTTGTAGAATCTAATCAAAACAATTCATTAACAAAACATGTTATTTAAGTAAATTAAAGAAAGGACAATATAGTCATTTAATCATTTTACCTTTCTTCTCTTGTGATCAACAGACTCTAGAGCTGAACGTAGTTTTGCTACTTGTGACGAATCTTCTGCTGCCTCTGTTGCTAATGTCCCCGCAATATCCTAATAAAGCAAATTACGTTTTTGGTCCTTATTTGTGGTTTTTGTAACATTTTTGGTCCATGTTGGAAGTAAAATGACAAAAATTGAAATTAACCTTGAGGTGTTGGAGTTGAGAGTTGTAAACACGTTTTGCATATTCGGTCAAGAGTTGACCGAGGGCATCGGTCAAGGGCGGCATTGCAGCACCAAGGCCCGCCATCCAACCGTCCATGATGGCGGTAGAAAGAAGCTCTAACTGACCGGTGACCCCACCACCAGCATCCACGCCACTGACTGAAAGAAAGTCAAAGTTCATGGCAAGCCAAGATCTGATCTGGCGTTGCAGCTCGCCAGCTGGCGTATGGACAAAAAGGGCAGCAAGGGATTTATTCCCTGTTGCGAATGCTTTTGCGTCTTCGGTTATTTCCCTAAGTTTAGCACCAGTCACATGTTGTCTCCATGATTCTTGATCAATTCCACGTATCTTTAAAACAACTGAGGACAATTTTGACTTTTTCTCTGGTTTTAAATTTACTTTAAACCCGAGAAAATGGTCATCGATTATCGCGTTCTTGAAACTTGAATCGTATCTCACAGGAGATCTTCCAGGGCTGCTGCCTCTACTGGAACTTCTGCTTCTTCCACTTATAGGCTTTTCAAGAAATCTCTCAACAGGAGGAACCTATAAAATATTAAAGAATTATTTCCACAATCTTAAGGGCAAAAATGTCATTTTAGATGTCACCTTGATGGATTGAAGCTCGGGTGATCTTGCTAGCAATGATCTAATATATAAAATTCTAACACGGGAAACAAGCATGGTGTCCATTACTCTATGTGGCTCCATTTTTCTTATGAATGCAAAAACAGCATCTCTTATTTCAGCAAGTATTTCATGTTCACGTGAAGCACCTGCTTTAATCACAGCTGCCAAAACCTGCAACATTCAAATGTTTACACAAGTTGAAGAAAGTTACATTTTTGGTCCCTGGGTATAGCTGTTTTTTTCAATTTTGGTCCCAAAAAAAATTTATCTTGTAAATTTGGTCTTTGTTTGAGGTTTTTGTAACTATCTTGGTCCTTGCTCCCATTCAAAGACTATTTTTTGGGACCAAAATTGTTAAAATCAGCTATACTCAGACCAAAAACAGTAATTTTATTTGAAAAGGAGACTAAGAAGCTCAAATAAGGACAAAAACTGCAAGAGAAATTTTTTTTGGGACTAAAATTGTAAAAATAAGATATACCCAAGGACCAAAAATAGTCATTTTACTTGAAAAAGGAACCAAAAATGTTACAAGAACCTCAAATAAGGACAAAAATTGCAAGAAAAGACCAAAAATGTAACTTATTCAAAAAAATTGTTTCAAAATTCAGAAATATGTGAATTATACCAGCATTAGTAGCTTGTTTGCTCCATCAGAAATAGCAGCAAGGCCATCATATTGTTCTAGGTCAAACTCATTCAAAGCAGATGTGAGATATTCTCCTGCTGGGGTTGACTTTATCTTATCTTGACCAGGTTTGACCAATGCTAGTGTTCCATCAGGTTTTTTAGGGGAGAAAGGGACAACATCTGTTGTTGTATGTTCTTTGTTATTTATGTCATTCCTGTAAGTTAAATAAATAAATCAAAAAAGTGTTAAAAATTAGTTACACAAAAAGAATAATCTTGAAACTATAATTATTTCACCTTCCAATTTCATTGGCCTGGTTTTGAATTTTGGGTGGTGCTCCTAATGCCAGCTGGCTTCCCATTGTAGTTGCCTTCTCTGTTAATCTCTCAAAAAGCTTCTCATTTTCTTCATGCAGCCTCTGAAAAAACATTTAACTCCATTGATTGATTTTTCATTTCTATTTATTTATATTACTTTTGTTATGTTTACACAAAAGTAGGTTTTTTTACCTCAATTAGGGCATCACGTTTCTGAAGTTCTTCTTCAAGTTTCTTGGAAACAGATGTAGATTCAATATCTTCTTTTGTTGAGTTTGAGTCTGAGCTTGTTTTGGACTGAAGTGTTACATTCAGTTGTGCCTCTAAGCTTTTCAGTTTTGCCTGAAATGTGAAATTACAAAAAACCCCATAAACAGACACGAAACAGCATCATAAATCAATAATGGAAATGAAATATTAGAAAATTTAAACCTGTAAAGACTCTATTGTTGAATCGCGTTGTTGCAACTGTAATTTCTGCTCTTGCACTTGGTTGACTAGTTGACCAACTTGACTTTTCAGATCATTATTCTGATCCTTCTCTGTTTTATTCTTTTCAGCAAGAATAATATTCTCTGCCTGTAACAAATCAATAATGAAAAACATTAACAAAATGAGAAAAACTTTACACATAATGAAAAATTAAAAATACATTTTTTTTAAAACTCACAAACCTTTAAATCAGACTGAAGTGCAAAAGAAACTTTCCAGGCTTTCTGAACTTCATTGAATAGTAACACACACTGATCATTTGCAACATTAAGTGCTTGTTTTAATCCCACAACTTCCTGTTTCAGATCAAGACTTTCTTTTTCTTTTTCATAAAACTCCTTACGAGCATCATTTGCCTATATGAGAGAACGCAAATTAGGCTCCTCGATATAAAAGACAAGGGCAAAATAGTCATTTTTACAAACTTACAGTATCTTTCCACTTCTTAATGGTATCTCGGTTCCCAAGGCTCAGCACAGAATTTCGAGCTCTAGAAGAAAAATTCAGAGATGACAATGTTTCAGACAAATTTGAAACATCTGGACATATGTTTACAATGAGCAGAGTTTTTGAGTTTCCACCTATGATAACAAATATACAAAAGATAATGTAAAAAATGGCAGTTTTTAATATTCCAAAAAAATGTAATATTTCCAGAATCAAGAATACCAAGTGAATCAGCAAGAAGTTTTGTAAGCATTGAGTTCTCATAAGGAACATCTTCTTTCTTGGAAGTCAATGAAGCTAATACATCTCCCAATCTACATACATAGATAGTCAAATAGTCAAAAAGTCAAAAAGTCAAGTAGTGGGGCATAAAGAAATCAAAAATTATAAATTACATACGCAGAAAGTGATTTCATGACATGTAACACATCGGTTGTGTCATCCCCATTGTTATCTTCCAGACCTAAAGTTTGACTTCCAGCCAAGTCAACAAGAGAAAGCTTGCTGTATAAATTTTCTCCGGTGATCAAATTGTCATAATATATATGTATCGTGGTTATCCTGTGCAAAATAACAAAGCAAAAAGCTTTTCAGATTCTTGTTTGGAATGAATAAATGAAAACAAATCAAGAAACTGAACACGTACAGATGAGAAACATTGATCTTGTTTTTGTCATCACTTCTATTCAAAATTGCCCTTTTGATGACTTTAGAGAACTCTAGTGGATTGTCAACCTTTTCCTGTACAAGGTCAACCTTGGGTTGACCTTGACCACTCTCTGACTTTGAAAGCAAATCTTTCATCTACAAAACAGAAGATAAGTATCAAAACCAAGTAAATTTAAAAGAAAATGACATACCCATATAAGTAATTATATAAAAATTAAAGGGTGTAACCTGTTCATTATGAAGCTCAACAACTGTAACAAAAAAGTTAAATCTTGAAGTTGAAGTTGTATCTGAGTTGGAGACATCAAACAACTCTTCAAAGCATCTTGCATATAAACCTCGATCATGGCTAGAACCTTCCATGGTGTGTGTTTTTCCAGAACATGTTTGACCATATGCAAAGATTGACACATTGTGTCCATCTAATGCTGACTGGACAAACGGTTGAACATCTGTGAAAAATTCAGCTGCCACATGAAAAGATGACATCATGTTATTTAAACAATATAACCATAATTATCATAAAAGAAAAGGTTTAATGGAATGTGGTATACCTTGTCCAACATGTGGTCCATAAACCCTGTCAAATTCATAATCTTTTTTAGGGTTTGAGACAGCATCATCACCAGTATTGACTCGTATAGTATAATCATCAGGAAACTCAACAACTGAAGGGCCTTCATCTTCAAAAAGTGGTCTTGTTCTACAAAAGACCTTTATGTTTCCTGAATTTACAGATGAAGATTTCAGATGAAGAGAACTTTTACCAAAAATGACTATTTTACCCTTGTTGAAGGACTCCAAACCCATTTGATTGTTATTTTGATAATATATGTTTCTTTTACTTTTACCTAAAAAGTTGACATCATAGTTGTTTGCTATAGTAAAAATCAGTTACATTTTCGGAGATTATCAAACAGTATTATACACATGACTAAATTTATGACAGCAAAAAACTTTTCACTATAACAAATTTATGTGACAAAACTTAAAGGCAGCTATTTTTTAGCATATAAATGTTAATAACAACGGATCTTAATGCTATACCCCAAACTGAAATCAAGATATGTATCTTGAAAACAAAAGGTTACAAGTTAATTCATTTATTGTTATTATTATTAGAATTTCTATTATGATTCTTATAATTATTAACTGTATGCAAATGGTATGTACTTCCATTCAATTTCCATTTTGAGTACAGACTTCCAACTTAACATTTTGGGGTCTATAACTTTATACACTAAAAAAACTTATTAAGTACCCGGGTTGAACTACAGATGGATTAACAGTAACACATGTGTTTATCATATTTTACACAAAGCTATTCTACAATCCATAGAAGATGCATGAAGAAATCATGCTTACCTTTAGCAGTCAATAGCTCATTGTACAACCTTTTCTTCTCATTTAAAAGTGGGGCAACTTTAGCTTCAGCTTCAAGAGCAGCCTGATCTGAAAATGAAATCAAAGAAATTGTTGGTGTTTACCATGTATTGAATGAAAACAATTTGACAATTCAAGAGGATATAACGAAATGAGTAAGGGAAAGAAAAAAGAAAAAGATTTGGGAACCTTAACTAGGAAGCAGTATAAGTTACAAATCATACAAGAGTCGCAATTTGTGTAAAAAAAATCAAATCAAAGTACATATTTATAAAGTACTTATCTTGTAAAACTAAATCCAGAAAGTGAAGTAAAATGTCATTCATACCTAGCTTACGGGTCTTATCAGCAAGAACACCTAGATATCGTGTCACTCGATCAAGTTTTGCATTAGAGTACTCTTGAAGATCAACGGCTTCTTGTCTCAACTCTACATAATCTTCTTTGGCATGCTGTCAATGTAGTATAGTAATTTAACTCATGTCAAAAGGACATGTGAATATTCAAACAGAACAGTTACTACATAACAATCATAAGGCACAAACAGCAAGGGTAAAGTCTATTAATTTTGTGGTTACTATGTCTTCCACAAGTAATTTGCTATAAATACTGTATGATATCAGTCCCAAAAGTTCCTCAATTTTGTAGATTAATCATTAATCCATCTACAATGCTTCTTCATACACTAAACTTACAGATATCTGTACTTATGTGGGATTAAGTGAAAATCTGGTACACTTTGCCCAGGTGTCCATTCTATTTTACCATGAAAGATGTGGCCAAGTTGTTTGATTTAGAGCAAGTTAAGTTACATACCCCTAATCTAGCACATTTGACATGCCTACTCCATTTGCACAGTACTTTATAGTCACAAGGAGTAAAAACCGTGACGCATTTTAAGCAATAAATCAGATTCAAAGAGCACTGAGAGTTGTATTAAAAGGAAAATTAAATTAGTAAGGAGTAAAGATAATTTACCTTGACCTTATCCTTCAAATTATGAAGCTTGGTGGCAACAGACTGTTTAGAAATGAGTTCCGAATGTGCTACAATTGACGGAGTAGAGATCGAGTATCTCCGAACAATAGGAGCAGGAGCAGGAACAGACGGTGGCTGCTCCGCCGGAGATTTCCTCGGTTCAAAACCACTCACCTCCCAGTTCCACCTGTTGTTCGACATTGATTAATTCTTCCTTTCACAAATCCCTAATTCCTCAAAATCGTGACAAAATTAAGGCGATTTGATGTTTTTCGGAAGAAATTATGAAGATGGAAACGGAGGTGGAGGAGAAGATAGTCCGACGAGCTGCACCACTCTTTCTCTCTCACCCTCTCTCAAATCTTTGGTTGTAAACTCTTTCCCTCTTTTCCCTATTTCCTTCACGTATTTTAAGCTATTACAAATTAATTAATTCCAAAATTATGAAATAAATAAATAGCAACCTTTGAATCCATCACCAATCATAATATATAATTTTTTAATTTTTTATTTAAATTATATATATAATCATAATGTAACCCATCTTTATATATATTAAAAGAGAAACTTCACTTTCAATAATCAGAGTCATTCATTGAGTTTCCTTGATTAATTTCAATCATTAGATCATTTTGATGATGTCATCATAAAATAAAATAAAATTAATATTAACTAAATTCAGTTGACTATGTTTGGAAAGTTGAAAACTTATTAATGGTGAATGAAATTTTTAATTGGAATGTATTGAAATGAAATAAATGTAAACATAATTGTCAAAACATAAATATGGTTCATTCCTTTTTAAAATCAACTAATTTGTATATACCATTCATAATTATAAAATTTGAAATCAAAGAATTCAAAATAGTATGATATGAATCACAGTATTAATTTCTTCATATCCTTTCCAAAATCGTTGTTTAAAATTATATATAAATATAATCTTATTAAGTTGTTATCACAATTTCGTGAACTCTGGACTTTGCAGCATCACGTTCGAATACCAGCTTCATAAGGTTAGCAATTTTTTTTTGATTTACTGATTAATTTCTTACATCTGATTATAATTTATGTGTTCAGTATATGTATCAATGACTTATTTGTGGGTTTTTGATAAACGGATTTTATACTGTGTGTGTGTTTGCGTTTGTGTGTGTGTGTGTGTTTGTATTGGATTCTATGTTTGGATTTGATGAAGTAAAATTCAGTTTAATTAGTTTTGTGTTAATTGGATTGGATTATGTGTTTGGATTGGATGAAAAAATAAATAAAGAAAAGTAAAAATGGATTACATTCCCGAAGGGTTTAGTGTCTACATATGTTATTTCTTCAAAACGACTTATTTAGGCTTGCTGTAAAAACTACTTTTAATTGGAATGATTCGTATATTCTTTAATATATGCGTGTGTTTGTGTTTTTCAATCAGCATATGCATTTTTGTCCAAAGGTAAAGAAAGGTAAATGTAATTTTGATATTGTCGTATTATACATACTTGTTGTAAAATGACCCATTTACCCTTGGTGTGTGTGTATGTTTGTGTTTCAGTGTGTGTGTGTGTGTGTGTATGTGTGTGGGTGTGGGTGTTTGGATCAGATTCTGTGTTTGTATTTGATGATGTAAAATCCAGTTTAATTAGTTCTGTGTTTGGATTTGATTCTGTGTTTGGATCGGATGAAAATAAAAATAAAGAAAAGTAAAAGCGGAGTACCTTCCCGAAAGGTTTAGTGTCTACATATATTATTTCTTCAAAATGACTTATTTACCCGTGTAGTAAAAACTATTTTTTTAGGAATGATTCATATATTTCTTTAATATATGTTTGTGTTTGTGTTTCTCAATCAACATATGCTTTTTTGTCCAAAGGTAAAAAAAAGGCAATGTACTTTTGATATTGCCTTATTATACATACTTGTTGTAAAATGATTTGTTTACATCAAAATGATAATGCAGGTGTCATCATCCTCCTACGTATGGCAAAGCTCAAAACTTGGGGTGGTAAGAATATTTTTTTATTATAAATGTCCATGTCATTACATTAATGTTTTATTTATAAGATAAATTAATTTATAACTTTAACTGTTATTTCTAGGTCAACCTCAAGTGGGTAAGTGTTTGTTTGGGTCGAGATTGCATATTAATAATGACATGTCTCACATTTCAGAATTTAGAAAAGTGTATGTCTTGTATCATTAATTAATAGCTTAATGTTTGTTTTTCCTTATTCTTAATCATTAATTATTTATATTGTTTAACTTCTTCATTTTTTTTCTTCTTATATGTAGTATTGCTGATATGAATTTGAATGTTGAGTCTTCCATTAGTACTACACAGTTTAACACCGATATTGTTGTGGCCAAGGCAGAGGATTACTAACTCCATTTTCCAATCAAGAACATTAATGATATTCCAGATTACAATGAGGTATACTTAACAATATTAATATTTTTCCATTAATTTTATAAATTTATGGCACATAACACAATGAATATATATATATATATATATATATATATATATATATATATATATATATTAAAAATTTATGAAATAGGAAATTGGTTTGTCCATTATTGTTACTGTCATCGGTTTTGATTTAGACGAAGGCTGGTATTCTTTTTATTGTTGTGACTATTCAAAAAAAGTAAGTAAGAATGATGATGATACTAATGTTGAACCATTTATTTGTGATGGTTGTGGTGGAGTTCTGATGTTTACAACAAGTAAGTTCATAATTTTACATTTGTAAAGTTTTTTTTTTTTTTGGAAAAAGGGAACTTCCCTAACGAAGTTTCCGGGTCAGTTTTCGCGCACCGACTAATCCCCCGCTGCAAACATGAGGCTTTGCCTCATGTCCTGGAGTCACTGCAAGCGAACCTCCATGGCCACAAGGCTGAGTAGTGCTAGGATTTGAACATGGGTCAATAGGTTATCCACCATATCTTCCACATGTCTTACCAAGTCACCACAACCCCAGTGGTTTACATTTGTAAAGTTCTTGTGCCATTAATCTATATTCGAATGTTTCCAATATAATTTCATTATCCATTAAAGTGTCATTTTATAATTTTTAGGATAAGGATCGTAATTCGTGTTTAATATGAAATTGGGTATGTTTCTTTTGTATTGTTTGATCGTCATGTTAAAGATGTTATTTATCATGGTAATCAGTGGCTGATGGAAAAGATATTAAACGTAACGTTGATTTTTTTAATCGCCAACTCATCTCTTATTTTGTTTTATGATATTAATTTTGTTTAATATATGTATTGAAGAATTGAATAAATTCATTTTAACCCATTAATGCATCCAATTTTGTTTAATATAAAAAGTTGTCTACAAATATGTCCTTCAACGATTTGTACTTTTTTTATGCATTCCTCCGCGTTTAACGCGGGTTATAATCTAGTTACTCAATATTTGATGGTCAGAATAAGGAAAAAATGTTTGGATTTTAATTGTAAATTTTTTACATATTAGTATTAGTTAATTAAAAAATATATTCGGCTAAAGTTTAAAATAAATTTAAGATAGTTGTTTTGATCTTAAAACAATAAATATACAATTCATAATTTCGTATTAAAGTGATGATTTTATTAGTAAAAGAAACATGCATGATTGTTTTATTATTATACTGAAATAAACATCAAAAGGACAGAGTGACAACTTTATAATAAAAAAGTTTATTACATCCAATATCTTAGTTATTAAACATTAAGAAATTTATTTGATAAAATGATAAAATTAAGTATTTTATTTGTTTATATTTTGGCTTGAAATAAATATTAAACAGGGTGTGAGAAATGAGAATGGGTGAGTTGTAATTCAAACACCTTACATCAATTTCGAACGCAAAATAATATGCGCTTCACGATATTCAAAGCATCGCTTTCTATTGTGGGGTTATGGAGTTTTGGTATTTGGATTGGATTGGGGGGAATGGAAAGATAAGGAAACCTTACTACTCACATGAGACTGTTTTAGTCATTTGGGTATGAATTGGGCCGAACCCGATTCAACAAATTAAACATTAGCTATTTAGATTCATCAATTTTTGTATGGAATGGTTTTGTGTAGGTAAGATTGTAAGTCGTAAGTCTTGTTTCAACTTTCAAGTGTAACTTTAGCCCATATAAAAGAAACAGAGCCGGTCCTGAAAAAGTAAATATTCTTAAAGACCCAGGACGAACAAGAAAAAAAAGGTCCTTATCTTTATTATAATTTTTTATTTTTAAATAAAAATATATAATGAAAAAAATTGGGCCCTGTGCAGCTGCCCACTTTGCCCCCCCTCAAAGCCCCCCATGAAAAGAAACTAGCATGATTTGTGTTAAATTTAGAGAGATGGATTCGTGGAATTCACTTCCAGAGTTTTCTTATATATATCTTTAATAAAGAACAAGGTACAAGGCTATATATACAGATCTGATACAACTAACTATCCTATGATAAGGGAAACTATAAGATAAGAATACAAGTTTAGGATAACAACACGTGCTGAAACTCTAGCTCCCGCCAACACTCCCCCTCAAGGTGGAGAATGTATATCTATCATTCCCAGCTTGTCAAGAGAGCTGTAGAACACTCTTCCACAAACTGCCTTAGTTACCATATCAGCTATCTGGTCTTCTGAACCTACATTTGGCAGCTCCACAGTTTTCCGTTCTAGGTGATCCTTGATGAAGTGTCTGTCTATCTCCACGTGCTTTGTTCTATCATGCTGAACTGGATTATTTGCAATCTTCACTGCTGACTCATTGTCACAGTACAACTTCATTGGTTCACTTAGTTTCACTCCCAGATCTCTAAGTACTCGCTTTATCCACAACAGTTCACAAGTCCCGTTCACCATGCCCCTAAACTCCGCTTCCGCACTTGATCTCGAGACCAATTTCTGTTTTTTACTTCTCCAAGTAACCAAGTTACCACCAACAAAAGTGAAATAACCTTATGTGGATTTTCCCTCAGACTTATCCCCAGCCCAATCAGCATCAGTAAAAGCACTTACATCACAAGTTTTGTTTCTTCCAAAAAAAATAGACCTCTTGCTGGGGATGATTTCAGGTACCTCAGAATTGGAAAAACAACATTCATATGCTTCTTGCTAGGGGCGTGCATAAACCTACACACAACAGACACAGCATACGCAATATCCGGTCGGGTATGAGATAAATAAATCAGTTTCCCAACTAACTTCTGATACTGATCCTTGTTGGCGGGGACCTGATCTTCAGTGATTTCCAAGTGATGGTTTACCTCAATAGGTGTGTCAATGGGTTTACAGTTTAACATACCCATTTCTGCTAAAAGATCCAAGACATACTTACGTTGATTCATTGATATTCCTTTCTTAGACCTTGCAACTTCGATTCCTAAGAAATATTTCAGATTTCCTAGATCCTTTAATTCAAACTCAGCTGCTAGTATTTGCTGAAGTTTGTTTATCTCCTCCTCATCACTTCCTGTCACAACCATATCATCTACATAAACTATGAGGATTGTCACCTTCTTCGATCTCCTTTTCACAGAGTGTGATCAGCATCACTCTGTTTATAACCAATTTCTTTCATGAATTTAGAGAACCTCCCAAACCATGCACGTGGCGACTGCTTTAATCCATACAGTGCC